AAAATTGTTGTGTCTGATTTTGAAGGGCTTGATGATTATGCTGTGGGGAGCCACGACCACGCCCTTTACCTCTGTTATTGTTGAAATTTGGTGAGAACTACTGTGGGGGCTTCTGAAAATTATTTTTCTTAGGAGGAACGCCTACAAGATTCGCACTTTAAGGATCTGACACAAGATAGGTCTTCAAGCCAGTTTTCATGGTTCAGAAGTGCTCCCATAATATCAGCAATACCAAGATCTATTGCATCTGGTTGATTTGGCCAAATAAAATGTAAAGTACCAGTTCGGATTTGAGAATTGGTTCAGATACTATAGGCAGACTGTTAGTAATAGACTTTGCACGTTGTATGTATGCAAAAATAGAGAGAGAACCTTTTTTAAGATTTTGCAGTTACCTGTGCAACTGCAGTACCCAAAATCAGGAGTGGGTAGAATAATTGTGAGCAAGGGAAGTCCATACCTCTGATGATGTCGACAGACCTACCACTTGTGCCATAACTCCTTTAGTGAGAGAGAAAATCAGCCAACTCAACACAAGTTGGTCAATATCAGTCCATTTTTTGAATTCAGGGTTCACTATCATCCTTGTACTGCCTGGGTCGGGTATAACTTTAGGCGGTGGCTTCTTCTTCCCTTTTACAAGCTCCAATAGATGGTGGTGTCAAAGGATGGGAAGGAACTGGGCCCGCCACAACAAATAATTGTCACTTGTCACTTCCAAGTTTAATAGGAAGATAATGAGTCACATTCTAGATTGAAGGGAGTGCACTACTCATGGATGAGCTATTGTTGGATGCTATTGGACTGCTACCATGTGTGCTTGTCTCTGTCGACATGGCTCTGATACCAAGTTAAAACAAACAAAGAAAATAAGAATAACAGCAGTAAATCAAAGAGAAATAAACACAAGAAATAATATGGCTAACCCTTCCATTGATGGGGGACGAATCTGCCATATTTATAGTTACAGAGATTGAGTTATACTAGGATTACACAAGATGAGAATTTAACAGAGATAGAGCTTATCTGAGTTAGTTGTGATTCATCTAGGATAGATCTTATCTTTGAATAGGATTAGGATTATCTTTGGTTGTTTAGGATAATTCTTATCTTGGGTAGGAATAAGATTATCCTAGGTAGTTATATACAAGAGCCCATAAGGTTCTGCTAAATGGGCTTTGGAGGTTACGTAGGTATGCATGGGCCATGCATGGGCCCATGGACGTCTACGTTATCAATCAAATCTACAATTAATTAATGCTCAATTCAACTTTCGACTTTATTGATCCCAATCGCTTTCGCTTTTAAGCAATACCATAATTGGGTCATCATTATATATTGGCATATGTTATGTTTTTTTTTTCTTAATTGGGATAAGTCAAACCAAATCTCTAAAATTATATATACAAACTATATGGGGTGTTTATAAAATACAAACTATATATGGGTAGGTTTACTTTATTAAATCAATATAACTATGGAGGGTATCTTAATAAATTACAGTTTTTTAATTTCTTTCAATGTTTTGATGAAATATAAAGCAAATTTGGGCTACATCCCTAGATCTGATTGGTTTTGGATGGGGTTCGGATCTCAGTTTTCAATTACAGATTGAATTCAGATGTTCAGGCTCCGAATCCAACCTGCAGATTGCAGCTCAGGAATTCAAATTTGGCTATTGATTAGTTTTTTGGAACCACCCAAATAATGGAGATTTACAGCTTCCAATTCCAAAATTGTTCTATAAATAGAGTTTAAGTTCATTTTCGTTGTTGTTTCAATTCAATCAAAACTTGATCATACTTGGCTGCAGGCAATGCTTGAAATATGCGGTTCTTGAAGGTGGAATTCCTTTCAACAAGGCTAATGGAATGCATGTATTTGAACATACTGGGGTAGATGCTAGGTTTAACAAGGTCGTGAATAAGGCATTGTCAAATATTACCATAATGACCATGGTGAAAATTCTTCAGACATACAAGGGATTTGAGGGCCTCAAAGTGGTAGTTGATGTGGGTGGCGGAATTGGAGTCACAATTAACATGATCACATCCAAGTATCCTCAAATTTAGTGCATTAATTTTTATTTACCCCATGTCATAGCAGATGCACCATCTTATCCTAGTAAAGGCATTTTCACTTTCTTTTGCTTGAATTGATTATTATTCTCTAAAATACTGAAGAAGTTTCTGCTTTTCACTACCGATATATCTTGTCTTTCCGGTATTATAATCGTACCCTATAAAACTATCAAGCTAGTTTCACTTATGGACTCAACCCAACCCCAACTGAATCTGGCTGATTGAATCTCAAATTTGAGCTTACCTGATTCGAGCTCACCCAATTACAGATCATGATTTGATTTCTAATATTAATTGTTCATATGTTAATATCAACTTGTCATGTTCTAATTAAATAATGCCTATATGTCCCAGTTATTGAGATGTCCCAAGTGCTTGGCACCTCTCCAGATAGGAAGAACTGCAAAACCAAAGGCTATCAATGGTATTAGAACGACTATTGGGCCTCACTTGCACCTGCTTTGTCCCATAGGCTTAGTTTTGAAATACAAATTTGTAGAGTGCAAAATCTTATATGCAAATGGAGTATAAATCCCGGTTCAGGATTAATTTGCACTCTGCTTTACTTTTGCCTGTGTTTGGCAACATTACATTTATGCATTGACAAATGATAGAAAATACATTTTCCAATACATATTTAATTACATTGATAATATAAGATGTAAAAATACATCAATAAAAAAGAAGTAAATTTGCATTCAAGTAAACTTTTAATAAAAAAAGGCATATATTTTATTGGAATTCATGTTTACTTCAATTGCAGCCAAAAATCTATTTGGTAATAAGATAAATTTGTCAGTGCAAAACTAACCCCACATTGCAATTATTACACTCTACATATTGGCATTCACACTTATGCTCCTAGTGCAGTGTTGCTTGAAGCTTCTTGAAGAAAGAACTCATTATAATATAATTAAGGTGATGCTTCCTTTTAAGTTTTTACAAAATTCTAATGTCCTTAATTGCTACTAATTGAACATCCTGTCAAATCATATTTCTGGTTGGCACAAATTGAACATTTTATATTTTTGCCTTTGCATCAGACTAGTATTTAGTTGGGACTTGGGAGATCATGCTTATTGTCGACAACTAGCATAAAAGTCTCTACTTGTGGAAAAGATTGATTGCAAGTGAAATGAGATATATTCTTTCTAATTATCTCAAATTTCTTAATTGTTTTTCACACTTAAACCAGTTTTACAGGGTAGAGAGATAGGGGTGTCAATTGGTCCAATCCAATCCAGTCCAATGTGAGTCCATTATAAATAATGGATCAGGTCCAATCTAATCCAATGAATGTTTTGGACCAATTTAATGTCTGGATCATCCAATCTGTTCAAATTCATTTTGATTTAGATTAGTTTCAACCGAAACCCAGTGCATTGATACATATATTCTTATCTTATAACAATGAACTAGATTGGCTTAATCCAACCCATTCCAACATAAATTTGTTATGGATGAACCAGGCCCAATCCAATCCAATAAATATTTTGGACCGAATTAATCCAATCCGATATGTCTTATTGGTCCGTCCAATTCGTCCAAATTAATTATGTCCGATCCAAAACCGATTCATTGACACCCTTGTAGAGAGCACGAGCGTTTAAGAAACGGAGTTGAAAAAGCATATAAAGTAAGAGTGTGGAGATGGAGGTCATTTGTTATTTGTTATGATGAAGTAATTGTGATTGAAGAACACATACCCAACAATTAATGTAACACATGTTGATTGATGACAAGAAATTTTAATACATGATCTCCCGATTCACCTCCTAGGGGTCATTGTTCAACTACATCTAGTCCAATGAGCCCCTATCCTGAAGATCTTTGGAAAGTGGGTTTTTACGATCCGATAAAGAATCAAACTTATTTAAATGTTCCCGCTATTCTATATTTCCTTGAAAAAGGCGCTCAACCTATTTTCAAATAAGACAGAAGTACGTAGAGAATTCTGTGCCTATACTTAAACCACCACACTCCAATGGAAGGGGAATAAAAAGGTCTAACCCTGGGTTAGATAGTTCTTGGATCCAAAACTGGACCTGGACCTGGACCCGGACCCGGACCCATAACCAATTCCTGGGTTTACAGGCCCAACCATCCGGTCCAGTTTTCAAAACCAAGACCTATATTACAATCGCAATTGCGCAGAAAGATAAAGTAATGGATCTTCGGAGGTGTTTCGATGTAATATCCGACATGTAAAAAATACAAAGTACAATATAGCCCATACTGTATTTAACTCAAACAATATGTTATATGTAAGGAAGGAATAGAACGTGGTGTATTCCAATTCAGTCGAGCAGGGTTGGATGTACAAATTTTCCGCTTATTAATTTATGTTTCCCCTCTCGGTTTGCGACACAAAAATTTGGCTTGATTTTTACAAGATAGACAATGTCAGGTACCACCGACTGTAATGCATCTGCATGCAGTTCACTTTTGCATTAACATATTATTCTCCTGATGCAAAGTACGTACCAGCCAGCTGGTTGGTAAGGAGATTTGGAATCGAATGTTTTATAAGATATAAAAAAGAAAAAAATATATATTATCGAGGGTTCGACTATGATACGGAAAATATACCATATTTGACCGATCCCACCTTGAATCATATATCGCCTTTATTGATGAGGTACGAATTGGGATCTGCTTCTTACAGAGTGCGCCTCACATCAACCTCACAGTCACATTCTACTATGTATAAACAACGATATCTCCCATGAATAAGATAAGATGTTCCCCATGTGGAGCAAGTACATGCTATTACGCGATGTGGAAGTAGCAGATCCGGACTCCTCCGGCACCATCATGATTTCATTAATTCCATCTATTTCAATGTTGGGCCACAACAATACATTGTTGGGTTTTGAGCTTGGTCTTATCATCATCCACCATGAGCCATTTGCTCTATTTTAAAAGGAGTGAAAGTTAGATGGGAGGACAGAGTTGCTTCTACCCCTTCTAATTAACTATCTTTCTCCTTCCCAAAAACCTGCAACTCAGTCCCTCGCTCGGCCAGCTGCAACATGTCGTCTGTCTATGATCTTGGAAGGTCGTTCAGTGAAGGCAAAGACAATAATGAAGAAAATTGTCTCTTGGCCTTGCAACTGGCAAGCGCTACGGTGTTTCCCATGGTCTTAAAAGCAGCTTTGGAGCTGGACGTGCTTGAGATCATATCTAGGGCCGGCCCTAGTGCCTACCTCTCGACTTCGGACATCGCCTCACAGTTGCCCACGCAAAACCCAGATGCTCCAGCCATTCTCGACCGTATCTTGCGTCTCCTGGCTGTCCACTCTGTTATCAAATCCTCTGTTGTCGAACGGGACGACAACCAAGTCCAAATGGTCTATGGCTTGGCTCCCGTCTGCAAATTCCTCACTGGGAACCAGGATGACATCTCGCTACGGCCTTACCTGCTTTTGCTTCAGGACAAAACCTTCATGGATAGTTGGTAATATCATCTAAACAAAACTGTTTGACATTCGTTATCACAGAGTACATCAGTCGCTTTCTTTTTTTAGCTGACATTCATTCCCAAAACAAAATTAGCACATTTGGCCCCACAAAGTATATCAAATCTACAATTAATTAATGCTCAATACACTTTCAACTTTATTGATCCCAATCGCTTTCTCTTTTAAGCACTGCCCTAATTGGGTCATTACATATTGGAATATTTTATGCTTTCTTTTGTAATATTGCAATTAAATCAAACCAAATCCCTAAAATTATATGGCGTGTTTATAAAATACAAACTATGGATAGGTTTTAGTAAATCAATAAATCTATAAAGGGTATTTTAGTTAGTGACAGTTTTAATTTCCTTCTTTGTTTTGAACAAATATAAATAAAGCAAATTTGGGCTAAATCCGGATCTGATAAGATTTGAATCCAATTTGAGCTCCCTAGATCTGAATGATTTTGGATGGATTACGGATTTCAGTTTTCAATAGCAGATTGAATTCATAACAAGACCCAAACCGATCAGTCCGGTCCGATCCAATCTGAATTGGTCATTTTTTCTTCAGCATCGGTTGGCTTTGTGTTATAAAAAAATATAAACCGATGGTTAGGTTTGGTTTCAGTTTTTATGTGTGAAAACCGAAATCGAACCGACCCAAACCGACCTAAATATATATTGTATAATATATATATATATATATATATAATATTTCAGATATATTATATATATTGATATATTTCGGTTTTAATATATATATATATATATATATATATATATATTTCAGCTTTATTTCAGAAAAATACATATTATATATAAAATTTCGGATATATAAAATATCAATTTTAATCCATCAAATTATTTTTAATTTTCAGGCATCCAGCTTTTGCTTTTTTAGACTTGAATCCTTTACCATTCACACCAAGAGAATCATTCACAAAACCGACCAAGTCGATTTTACTTAGTATCGGGTCGATTTCGGTTTCATTTCTAGGTAAATCGACCATATCGGGTCTGTTGGAAAAATGCCAGTAAACCGATCCAACCCAACCCATGAACAGCCCTATATTGCAGCCCAGGAATTCAATCTTTCCTATTGATTAGTTTTTTTGGAACCACCCAACAAAAAAAAATAAAAAACAGAACCCAAATAATGGAGAATTACAGCCTCCAATTCCAAAATTGTTATATCTAATTGCAACCTTAGCTCTATATTCAATTCAATCAAAACTTGATCATCGAACCTTGGCTGCAGGCAATGCTTGAAAGATGCGGTTCTTGAAGGTGGAGTTCCTTTCATCAAGGCTCATGGGATGCATGTATTTGAATATACTGGGGTAGATGCTAGGTTTAACAAGGTCGTGAACAAGGCAATGTCAAATATTACCACAATGACCATGGTGAAAATTCTTGAGACATACAAAGGATTTGAGGGCCTCAAAGTGGTAGTTGATGTGGGAGGCGGAATTGGAGTCACAATTAACATGATCACAGCCGAGTATCCTCAAATTAAGGGCATTAATTTTGATTTACCCCATGTCATAGCAGATGCACCATCTTACCCTGGTAAAGGCACTTCACTTTTTTCTTTTGCTTGATTATTATTGCCTAAAATATTGAAGAGATATCTGCTTTTCAGTATTATAGTCGTACTGATTCACCGGTTACCAATTCCGGTGAACTTTTTGGGTGAATAACTGTTTAACACACTCTCAGAATTTTTAGTCTTACTGTACAGTTAGGATAAGTGCCACTTTGGAATTGCTGTCAATAAACATGTGAATATTGGTGTTTTAGAATGGGGGTATTTGTCATTTTAAATTATATAAAATTGATTCTGCAGTGTGGTACAGTATACTTTTCAGCAATTTTTTCTCTGGTATCTTGTCTTTCGAGTATTATAGTGGAGTCCTAATAAAACTATTTAATTACTTATGAAGCAGGTGTGGAGCATCTTGGAGGGGATATGTTTGAATATGTTCCAAATGCAGATGCCATTTTTATGAAGGTGATTTATTTGAAATTTTTAATATATAAGAATGATCTTTTTTTTTTTATAATTAAGCATTGTGGGGATGTAAAGGGTGAAAGCTAGTTTCACTCATTATGAATTCAACCCAACCCAATTAAATCCAGCTGATTGAATCTCAAATTTGAGCTTACCCAATTCGAGCTCATCCAATTACAGCTCATGATTTATTTTCTAATATTAATTGTTCATATATGCTAATATCAATTTGTCATGTTCTAATTAAATAATGCCTATATATGTCCCAATTTGAGCTTTAAATATAAATGAATGAATGTAAAAAATATAAAATTTGAAACAAGCTCTTCAATTTTCTCCTGTGACTCATTGGAGGAATTCAATTTAATTTTCTCCTAGTGCATACTTCATGATTGGAACGACGAGGATTGCTTGAAGCTTCTGAAGAACTGTTGGAAAGCCTTACCCAACTTGGGAAAAGTGATTGCCCTTGAATCAATTCTTCCAGAGACCCTTGAGGCGACCGATCCTGTCAGTAAAGTCGTATGGGAACAGGATTTGCTCATGTTATCACAAAGCCCTGGAGGAAAAGAAAGAACATACAAACAGTTCCAGGACTTGGCACTGAGTTCAGGATTTACCAGTTTTCAAGTTGTTTGTTCTGCATATCACAGCTGCGTTTTGGAATTCCAGAAGTGATGATATTTTCTAGTTTTGGAGAACTATTTGTGGTTCTTAGCTTATGCTTGCTAGATATTAATAATATCCATGTGTGATGGGAGCGCAGAACTTGTTTCAGGTCCTTTCTTATGCTATGTATTATCATTTGGAATAATTTCATTGTGGTTTTCCTTTGCAATCTCGAGCCAACGAGTAAATATGCAAAGTAGCTATACATCGAGAAAAAACAGTTCATTTGTGCTGGAAATAGAATTGTTATCCATCAGATTACGAAATTGAGGTGATGAGACCTCTGAGAATAATGTTAAATCATGGGCCACATGGGATTCTAAACAATTAATATGATGAAAAAGAGCGTATTAGCAATTGTCTACCCATTTTCCATTTATTGACTATCCAAAAGATCCCTAGTGCAAACACGTATCACTATCAAAATAGAACAGATCGAACAATCAATATAACAGGAACTCTAGCACACAATAAATAACAAAATCTAAAACAGAATCTCATCTTCAAAGGAGAAAGTAAACGCATGAGCATATGATCAATGGCATTTGATGGAGCGCAATCCGGCCGATCTTAGCTGTCAACGACCTTGCCTTTGACTGGATCAACAGGGGGGCCTGAAACAGGAAAAGGATAGAGAATCTCCGGGGAGGGACCCGGTGAGATTGCTCCGAAGCTCAAGTCAGTATTCTCTCAAAGGCAAGATAAAACCAAATGGCGCAAAGTTCACATACCTTGTTCTTGGGGGTAGGAAGCCTTTTATAACCACCTCGCGCACTCACTCCCAGGCTTCTGTCAGGTCGGATAT